GGTGAGGAAACTCAGTGTCATTGCAGCTCTTGAGCTCAGCTGAAAGAAAATCATCTGCGCAGCTGCCGCTGAGTCCTGTCCTGTGCTCGGTGCCCGTGCGGTGTGAGAGGGGAACAACTTCAGCCAACGCAGCATTGGCTCTGAAAAGTGCTCTCTTGGCACAGCTGCACAATGATTTCCCCGAAATGTTGGACTTATTCAGCTCCCTGAAGGCTGAAACAACTCTCCAGGGTGACTGTAAGAGCCGCTCAGACTTACGGGAATGGAAGGGCAGGAATTTTCTCAACCTGCTGGACATGAGCAAAGAGGGCAGGTCCGATTGCAGTGTGGGTGGATGTAGATCAGTTATTTCTGCTTGAGCCAGGCTGAAATCAGGGCTGGGTCAGCCGCAGCTGCCTGGTGGCAGAGGGGATTTGCAGGTGGAACTGTCTGTGCTCACGGGCACTTTGCTCCCACAGCACTTGGTTTCTGCTCAGGAGGCTCTGGCAGTAGCAGTTTGTGTTTGGGGCTGGGGCTTGTGAAACTTGCTCTGAGTGTTTTGCAGCTTTGGAAGATTTTTGCTTGAAAGTGGGCTATTGTATTTCCATCTGGCTGTGGTATCTGTTTCAGGAGTGTGCTGAGGTATTTCCTGAAATCTGAGTGTGGTGTTGGTGGAGACTGTGAACACAGTGAAAGCCTCTGGGCAGGAAGGAGTTGGGGGGCCACGAAATTACGGGCCTGAAGCCATTAAGCATGAGCAAATACCCCCAGAGAGGAGAAAGAACAATTAAATGCCTTCCTTGCCAAGGGAATTAGATCTCATCAGTGCCCAGGCTGTGCCCTGGAGTTCTAATGGTCAAGGGAGGAGGCCTGGGCTGTATAAAACTTTAGTCCTCGTTCCCCAGCCCTGCAGTCTCTTCCTCTGTGCTTGCTGTCTGTGTGGGGGGTTTAGTCCAGCAGATGTGGCTGTCTGGGAGGTCAGGGAGTTCCTTCCTCCTGCAGAGCTGGGCCTGCAAACCCAGAGAGTGCCCCTGGAAGAGGGGGCTCAGGGACACTTGATTTCCTGTCACTGCTGCATCCCTTGGGTGCACTTGTGCTGGCTTTCCTTTCTCTGGCCTCCATCCTGAACAGAAAGGCTTTCCAAGGACTTGTGTCAGTGGTGTTGTTTTAAGCCGTTTTTAAGCAAGACTTGCTGGCTGGCTGGAGAAGTGAAAACAAAGCTCTCAAGTACAGAAGTGGTTTGTGATAAAACCCCCTTAAAAGTGACAAGTGGGAAAAGGCTCATGGGTCCCTCCTCTGCTGCGTGCTCCCTCCCAGACGAGACTGTGGTGTTAGGTAATACTTCTGCTCTGCCCAGCTGTTGCCATGGCAAACAGCCACTCAGATACCACGGGAAGGGTTCGTGGTCTGCAGTGGCAGTGGTTGGTAACTCCTTGCTGCTGCCTCCTCTGGTGTGCTCCAGACCCTGGGATAGGATGGGCTGGGATGGGCTGGCTCTGGCATCAAAGCCCTGGTGCTGCAATCCTTGCAGACCCAGTGAAGCACCGCAGTATAAGGTCGTAATTTTGGTTTACACCAAAGCAGGTGAAAAGTACAGCTCATACCTTTCCCTCGTGGAGCTAATGATTAACATATCAATTAGGCATGAGAAGAAACAAAATGTGTATGCTCAAGATAAAGCAGACTGTACATGAAATGAGAAGGTATTGTAGTATTTGTTTTAAAAACAAAGTGGGAGTTATTTGCACTGGATTGTGCAGGCCAGCGCTGTGTGATTACAGGGAGTGCTACCATTTTCGGGGTGATTCATTGTGGTCTAGGCTCTTTAAGGCTGATTAGAAGGTGGGAGGGTGTTCTCAGCTTATACCCTCTCCCATCCTGTTTTAGAAAAGAGCAATGGAAGCCTCCAGACTTGAGGCCAGAACTGAGTGCTGTCCAGGGCCTCTGAGAGAAATCTCCCTCATTTCACATCTCTTGGGGAACGTCAGGTCCAAAGGGTTAATGGGATTCTGCTTATAGTGGTGAGGACCCTGTGTGCCTAGAGGTGTTTGGAGTGCCTGGCTGTGGGCAAAAGAGGGCTACAGAGCAGTTGATGGAGTCCCCAGTAGGGCTCCCCACAGCAAACTGGGTGGCTTTAGCTTGGAGGCACTCGGGCTTCTGACAAGAACTGCACAAAACCCGCAGTTGCCTTTGCTGGCAGAGTTGGGATTGGGTTCTGTAGGCAAAGCTGTTCCAGTAGGAAACCTGATCTCTGTCAGTGGAATGCTGCTGGTTACAGCGAGCTGGGAAGCCATGGGGTGACTTGGAACAGTAATGTGCAGTGGAAGACCTTCCAGCAAAAATGGTTTCAGGAGGTTTGGGGTGCTGATCCACTGTCCCTTCTTGTGCTGTTGACAGGGGGCCCTCTGTGTTTATAAAGCACTCCTGCACGGGCTGAGGGAGTGTGTGAAGGTGCTGCCACCTGCTCTTGTTGTCCTTGGGTACTTGTGTGACTGTGTTGGTGCTCTGAAGCCAACACTCAGCTGCAGTGTCCAAAATGAGCAGGTTGGTGTAGGATGTCTCCAGCTGAGTGAGAGGCTGGGCTAGGAGCAGTTCCTCCAGCCTGCCATGGAGCTGGTTTTTGCCCTGTGCACTCTGGTAGCTGCAGGTGAACAGTGGGCCACCCTTCACCTGTTCTGCTCCTCTCCTCTCCTCTGCAAGCCCCACACCCAAGGGATTGAAGAGAAAAGCTTTTCAGTATTAATGCTGTATAACTATGGTTAAAATCCCTCTGGCAATTGGTGTGTGACCTGCAGCTCCTGAAGCACTGATGAGGCTTCAGAGAAAGCTTTGTTAAACGCAAATTGAGAGGGAGGGGTGGTTGTTTCTATTCAGAGTCTTGCCCAGGTGCTCTCCAAGTCTGAGAGCTTCCAGTGTTGACGGTGTGTGCTCTCAGAGCACAGCAGTGGTTGCACCAGCTCCCCCTCGAGACCTGCTCTCTCTGGAGAGGAGCTCTGCACTGGAAGGCACAGACTTGTATTTCAGGTATTGTCTTTGAGGCGTTCCTTGAACTTGAGAGGTGAGTGGGTTGGGTGAAGTACCCCAGCCCCCCTCCACGGGGAAAAACACAGCTTGTTTGCAGAGGCTTTCTGCAGGAAGATGCTTGGTGCCACAGCGTGCTGCTGGTTTAAATGACTTCCAGCTTTTAGCAGAAGAGAGGGAATGAACCAGAGAAAGACACACCCCAAACTTCTAATGAGTCCTGGGAAGGTGTTGACACGGCTGCTGCCCCCTGCCCTGTCCCAGTCCTGCCCCCAGCTGTTACGGGCAGCTGTGCCTGTGCCTTGGCCGGCTCAGAGCAGCCCTTTCCAGCACAAGCCCCAGCAGAGGTGCTGGAGGGCTGGCAGGGCAGGGGGGTGATGCCTGTAGGTGCTGTGACCCACTTGTGCAGAGAGGCGGCGTCCAACACGAGTCAGCTGAGCCGTGGTGAGAGCACCCGGCTCCCCCTGCACAGCCCTGAGCCTGGAAAAGCCATTTCCTTAAATATTTCAGCGAGTGTTTCGTAACAGCGCTTTGTACATGCCTCGAACATGCTTTGTCGGCATGTCCCTGACACTTGGCTGTAGCTGCTTCAAACTTCTAATGGATTAATCATAAATACTTCAGGCAAATGCTCTGGTGTGCCTGCAGGGCAGCTGATGGTAACGGGCACAGGGCAGCCTCCTTCTGCTGTGTGGGTCTGGATGTCTGCGGGCACCAGGACCCTCAGTTCTGGGTATGGCAGTGCTCTGGCAGCAACAATCCAGCTCCCCATGGAGGGGGGACAGCTTGAACAGCACCTGGCAGCCAGCTGGAAGCCAGGGCTGCCTCAGGGCTCCAGCACAGGGATGTCACCATCTTGCACGGGGCTCTCAGAGTATTTGGGGGGTGTTTTCCCTCCACTCTTTGTAACAGGACCTTCTCAGAGCAAACAAAGGCACCAAAAAGCTGCTTGTTCAGAGCTCCTGGATCCACCAGGGATAAAAAAAGCCCAGGCTGAGCCCCTGGGTCACCTCCCCATGGAAAACAGGGAGTGAGCTGTGCCTGCACAGCGGATGCCCCCTCTGTTATTCCTGCTGGTAAGAGGGAGACTGCCTGGGGCTGGGGCGCAGGTTGGACCCGAGGGCAGACATTTGGGGGTACTGGGCTGTCCCTCTCTCTTCCCCACCTGGTGCTGTCAGGGTTTTGGCAACGTGTGAGCCGGAGGGTCACTGTGCCCATGGCTCTGCAGGGCTGGAGCAGTGACAGGAATGGTTTCCTGGGCACAAAGCAGGCCCGTGGGAGGGCCAGGCTGATGCCATGAGCTGTCTCCTGCCACCACCACGTGTGCAGGTTGTGTGAGGGCACGTTTTCCGTGCAGACCACAACAAACAGACCCAAGGAAGTTGTCAGGAAGGAGGGTCACCTGCCTGCCCTCAGACTGCCACAGCTCTGGGTGTGAAAGCCCAGGCTCAGTGAGGAGGAACCAAAGGTGAACTGCTCCTGTGCCCAGAATGGGCCTCGGGGCACAAAGAGCAGGCAGCACACTGGCCTCAGGTAGGAGACCCTGCTGGGAGAGCTCCATCCAAACCCGGGGCTCCCTCCTGTGTGCTCGGGCAGCTGGCAGAGTGCAGGAAATCCCTGTGGATTGCTGGGATCCTCTGGGCAGCCCTCGGCGCAGGGGGGCAGAGCTGGGGCGGTGCCTGTCCATTAGGTGACACCCACGGCGTTTGGGCACTCGCCCCTTGGCCAGCAGGGTGTCCTGAGCTGTGCCTCGGGTGCTGGGTGTCCCCTTACCCGCGGGAGGGAGGGACAGAGCTGGGGCAAGGGCCGGTCATCCAGGGGGAGGAGGCGGCTGTGTGTGTGTCAGGGCTGGAGCGGGGTCAGGGAACAGGCTGAGCAGTGCCAGTCCAGAGGCTCCTGCAGATGGGGAGGGGTTGGCCCTCCTGGGAAAACTCCGCTCTCGGCGTCGCTGTGTGACTGACCTGTCCCCTGTGTCCCCTGTGTCCCCTGTGTGCCCGCAGTGTACGTCGTGGAGGAGCGGCGGAGGGACGACACGGGCGAGAGCGCCTGCCTGACGGCCTGCTGGACCGCGCTGTGCTGCTGCTGCCTCTGGGACATGCTGACCTGAGCCCGCCACGCCGCCTCCCCACTCCTGCCCCGACCTCTCTTCTGTTACTGTAATCAGCTGCTCTGCTTTGCACAGCCAAGAGGTTCCCGTCTGTCCGTCCTAGCGCCTTGTCTCGGGGGTGGGGGTGGGGGGTGTGCACTCCTTTATTTTAGTAAAGGAAAAGGAGAAAAAAAAAAAATCCCTTTTTAACGTTTCTAAGACTTTTGTTGTAACTTTGAAGAATGTGCTGATGGTGTATTTCAGCCAAAGGCATTCTGATGAAATGTATATTTACCAGTTGAGATTTTCCTAGCCCTAGAGACGAAGACGTACGCAATAATTAAAGCCAACAGTTGATTTTCTTCGCTAGGTCCCGGCTGTTTCAGTAAATCTGTCCGTGCGGGGTCCGTCTGTCCCTGGTGCCGCGTGTCCTCAGCTCCCCACGGGCACTGGGGGGCAGGTGGGAGTCCTGGGTCTGGCATCTCCAACCCCCTCATCCCACACAGGGCAGCACCTTTGGGTTTTCATCCCCCGGGGCTGGGCGGGCACGTCCCCTCCTGGGACCAGCGCCCTCCCCAGCAGCTCCTGGAGAAGCACAGTCTGAGGGAAGGACTGATCCCAAGCTGTGATCCATCATCCCCTGCTGCAGAGCAGAGGCTTGCAGGGGGTAAATTAAATGGGTAAGAGGATACAAGGCCACGGATTAATTTAGTGCCAAAGATTTAGAGCTGAAGCTGTTCCATGGCACGCCTGGCCAGAAGAGGGATAAAAAGCTTTTGTCTGCAGAAAAGTGGGATAACCTGCTGCCAGTCCCAGGGAGTGCCATCCCACTGCACCCCCAGCCTTGGGAGGAAAACTGATGCACACACCAGCTGTGCTTTGCACTGCCTGGAGATCACCCAGGGATCTTGGATCTGTTTGCAGAGGGCACTGCCCTCGCTGTCCCTGGTGCTCTGTGCCCCTCAGAGCTCAGCAGTGCAAGTTTGGGGCTCTGTTGTGGGGCAAGACAAGGGGGGTTGGGGTTGATGAGAGCCCCTGGCAGCTGCCTGTCCCCAGGAGCCTTCATGCCCCTTCATGCCCCCCTGCAGCCCCAAGCTCAGCTCTGTGGCTGGGTTCCCAGAGCTGCCAGGAATGGCTGCTGTCACCTTCCCTGTCACTGTCACCTCCCTGTCAGCTTGGCAGCTGTGGGGGCACAGGAGGGAGTCCCTGGCTCACCCTCATCCATGGGTGGGAGGGAAGAGGAGTGTTGGGCTGCCCTGTGCCCATAGCCCTCGGTGCCCCCTCCAGGGGAGGGGGTGAGGACTCGGCTTTGCTGCTCTGGCACCTGTCACAGGCACAGCACTCTGGGTGCCACAGCGCCCGTCCTTGGGAATGGCAGGACACATCACATCTGCCACGCTCCAGCAGGAAGGGCCACCCCAGGTCCCAGCACGCCAAGCTGGCTGGGCTGTGGGGGAATTCAGGCTCTGCCAGTCCCCAGTGGGCCTGGGCACCCCTTCCCCATCCCAGTGCCAGGGCAGGGCAGCGGGTGAAGCTCTGGCAGCCTCTGCAGGGGGGAGTCTCTGGCCACTGCACCAGCAAGGGACTGACCCACCCGGCCAGGCCTGTGCCCTGCAACCCAAATGGGGACAGCCTGGCCCAGGGCCCACCTGTTTGCCCACCCCAGCACCTGGAAGAGATGCCAGGACACACAGAATCCGCGGTTGGGATCCAAGATCCCGGGAGGAGCAGGCGGGGGCCGGGCCGGTGCAGTTCCCGCGCGGGCCACACGGTGGCGACGTCCGGCCGCGCCGGGGACAGCGAGAACGGCACGGGAGAGAGGGAATGACACGGGAGACAGGGAATGGAACGGGAGACGGAATGGAATGGGAGAGAGGGAATGACACGGGAGACAGGGAATGGAACGGGAGACGGAATGGAATGGGAGAGGGGGAATGACACGGGAGACAGGGAATGGAACGGGAGACGGAATGGAATGGGAGAGAGGGAGTGGCACAGGAGACAGGGAATGGCATGGGAGAGAGGGAATGGCATGGGAGAGAGGGAATGGCATGGGAGAGAGGGAATGACATGGGAGAGGGGGAATGGCACGGGAGACAGGGAATGGCCCAGGACAGTGGGAATGGCCTGGGAGAGCAGGAATGACCAGGACAGCTGGAACGGCCCAGGAGAGTGGGAACGGCCTGGGACAGTGGGAATTACCACCCAGCATGGGCTGGCTGGGCCTATGCCCATGTCTGTGTTCCATGCCCACACCCGCATCCCTGTCCATGCCCATGTCATGTTCCATGCCCATGTCTGTGCCCGTGCCAGCCCTCCCCACCTCCCTCTTCCCCCACTGCTGCTCTCCAGCAGGATCCCTCCCCCAGCCTCCCCGGTGCCCACACCAGGCAGCACTCAGGGGGTGTCTGCAGGACGGGGGTACAGCTGCTCCAGGGCAGCCCCACATCCCACCACACCCCACCGGGAGAGCAGCCAGACAGACACGAGTTTATTGAGGTGGGGAAGGAGGGGGCAGGCTGTGGGGATCAGCCCAGGGCACCCAGGGGGGCCACTACTGTGCCCTGCGGGCCATCAGCATCTCCCGGATATTGTCTTCTGCTTCCTTCACACTCCGCTCCAGGTACGACTTCTTCTGCTGCAAGGCAGAAAGCAGAGGAGAGTCAGGGACCGCCAGCACACACCAGGGCCCAAGGCAGAGCTGGCTCAGCCACACCACACCCTGACAGTGTCCCCACGAGGGGACAGTGGTTACACATTCCCAGAGGCACAGGGGCAGTGGTAACGTTTTACACAGACTTTGAATTTTGTTCCCTCTGGAACCTCCCCTGCAAAAAAAGTGGGAGATATGAACCACAGTGAGGAAGGAAATCAAATCAGATCCTGTAACTCCTGGAGCCCCAGAGAGGGACTGACATACTAAGGCCTCCTTATGGAGACACAGCAAAAGCCTTCCTCTTCTTCCCAGCTGGGTCATTTTCTAACCCCAGACCCTCCTTTCTATCAGAAATTCCCTGGCATAGTCACCAAATACGTGTGTTTCCTTAATCATCTGTAATTAGGCTGGGCTTGGCAGGGAAGCAGCCCCAAGCCGTGCATCCCAAGATAGGAATTCAGCATGCAGCGTTTTTTCCTGCTAGTCTGGGTGCTCCTCTGTGACTGGAAAAATCAGCACTTGGCTCTCCTGACTATTTTCTCTGGGTTTCCAAACAACAGACACAACAGTCTCCTCCGGCAGCGTTGCTGTGAGCAGGGGTGGGCCCCTTCCATGGCCAGATGGGGGGCCTTGGGAATCTCCCCAGAGCTGGACTCGCCCTCAGTGGCACCTGCAGCACCGCTGGCACAGGGTCTGCTGTCCTCACAAGGGGCGGGGGGACACTGGCACAGTGTTCCCCCTGCCCCACGGGGGTCACAGCCCCACACAAGCCCAGGGAGCTTGTATTGATAAGCACTGGCAGGACTGTTATTAAATTCCAAGTCCAGGTCTCAGCCCAGACCATCCTGCCATGGGCACCTTCCTAGGAGGTGAGTGCCAGGAGCCCAGGATGGCAGGAATGGCCCCCAAAGCCCACCCAAACCTAGCACAGGTGAAGGGCAAGAACTGCTGATGCTGCCCAGGAACCCCCAGGAGCTGGGACCTGCAGTGCCAAGAATCCCATTAGCCCATGGAGCAGCAGTCCTGCTGCCATCACTGTCCCTCCATCCCCTGCTGTGACATGGCTGCACACGCAGCTGGAATGCCCATGCCATGAGGACAACCATCCCAGCCCTGCTGCTAAAGGCTGAAGGGTTTTTATTTAAACACCAAAGGTTGTTGTTGACATCCAGGGCCAGGGGTACAGGCATGGAAGGGCCCCTTCTCCCTCTCCCAGGGTCCCTCTCGCTTACAGGAACTGCTTTTGAGGAAACCACAGGGGGAGGAAGAGCAGCCACGGGTTCCCACTGTCAGTGAGTCAGTGACACACAAGTGACTCTGTCACCACCACACTGTCCCCACACTGCCCGGACAGGCCTTGAGGGATTTCACACAGAGGGAACTGAGCCTGAAGGCTGCAAGAGGTCACAGGTCCTGGAAAACCTTCGTGGGTCCGAGCTCTGCTGACCAGAGCAGAGTGGCAGCAGTGGAGATGACTTCTGGTCGATCATTTATTACTAAAACCATTTTTAACACCATTAAATAAGTCTGTAAAATGGTTCTGCCTTTCTGCCCTCTCCCCTGCCACGTCCCCCATGGACCCACAGTGCCCCTTCCTGAACAGGGACATGCACAGCCCACGGCAAAGGCACAGGGTTTAATGCCATTTCTGTGCAGCCAGAGGCAGGTGAGGACTGAGGGAAATTTCTCTTTCCCTCAGTCACTCTCCTTGGTCACACAGTGTCGGGGATGAGAGGATCTGGGCTGGCCCCCATACTTTTACTCCTTCCTCCCAGAAGCAGCGTCCAGGGAATCCCATCCCTGGAGGCTCCAGGAGCACGGCTTGAGCATCAGGTGAGCCCTGCACCCGCAGCTGGGGGGGCTGCAAACTCCCCACTGAGTCCTGCCGGAGCCAGCACGGTCAGCTGGCTCCCACCCCGACCCCCGGATCGCGGGCAGCGAGAAGCAGACGGGAGCCACATTTTCCGAGACACGTGGCACAAACGAGGTGTTCCTTCCCCGGGAACTGCAGCCCGGCTTCTGCTTCGGTAATCACCGGAGGAGCAGCAGGAGCCTGCAGCGTGCAAACCCCTCCTCGCCGCGATTACGGGGGTCTAGACAGGAAACTCCGTCTCTCCCGCCGAGCGAGGGCTGACACACGCTCTGCCTACTCACACAGAGCCCCGAGACACGGCAGCGCAGCTCTGAAGTCACGCTGGAGGCTGTTCCGGTCCAGCCAGACCTGCCAGGCTGGTGGTATCTGTTCCCTGAACGCCATCCCGCATCCCAAACCCCACCTCCGGCTTCCCCAGCTCACAGCTTTCATTTCATTCACTCGGCCTGGACTTGCAGCCCCGGTTAACCCTTTGTCCTCTGAGTCCCTGGTTTGGGCTTAACCTCAGCTCCCTTGGAGCTGATGCATTTCCCTGGGAAGGTGTGTTCGCCCCTCCAGGTGATCCTCCTCTGCTGCCACAGCAAACACAGCCCGCGGGAATTCCCAGTGCAACGCCAGGACTGCACTGCTAGTTTGGGTCCCTCGTGAACCCAGAGGTGGAATGCTGCTGTCTGCAGCCTCTGATTTCACCTCTAGAGCTGTAGCTCCAGTGCTCACCAGTCAGGAGCCCCAGGGGACACGGCAGCAGCCCCAGGGGACACGGCAGCACTGGCTGCCCACTGGCTTTGGTGGCTGCATGACCTGCGAGCTGCTCCTGCCCACTCACCACACCAGTGCCCT